CAGCAGGAAAGAATAGCATCTATTCTATTTAGTGAAATGCATTGTAGCTCTTCATTTCACCGCCAATTAGAATGAGTGTATTTGTATGCCAGCACAGGTTATATGCTCTAGATCAGTTTGTTGTGCAATAGAGAGCTGTTGAAGAACATAATATTTTATTTAGCTTTGTGTAGTGATTTTATTGGTGTATATTTGGAATTAAATGTTTTTATTACTTATTCATGGAACACGGGATTGCTTCTCAGTCCCAGGATTCTGCAAGTTTATTACCATTTCTGGTCATGTTAGGCTTAAGTACCTAGGTGGGCTGGTGGTGATACTATACCTACCCTGTGTTCTCAGTGCCCATGGATATGTTTATATTTTTGTTTTTACAGTAGCAGAATTGAATGTCTTACAAGACAGCGATGGCTTTTTCTCTAGAATTTGAATATGGAAGCCACAGGGACAGATGAAGTAGAAAAGATAAAATCAAAGTTTATGTCTGCATGGCACAACATGAAATACAGTAAGTGAAACAGTACATAGTAAAATCCTGTCACTATTGAAATGAATGGAATGTTTCTTGTTGACATGAATGGGACCATGATTCAGAAACTTAACTAATATTAATAATGCAGTATGACCCTTGAAACCATTTTTACTTTGATAGTATAAACAGCTCAAGTAAACAAACTTGTTTAGCTTTTAATTTTTCAAATAAACTTGCACAATTTCTTTTTAAATGACTTCTTTACCGTTTTCAAAATACATTATGTACATGGCACTAAATTTGCGTAGACTTTTAAACAGGGATAATATGGAATCATCTGTGCAAAGATTTTTTTATTTTTATATGTACTTTTCTGGAAAAAATGGGATGGTGTGTGAAATACAAACTCCACTGAAGGATCTACTTCACACTCGTGAGTAACATACTTTCCACAGTTGAAAATCAGTAATTTGTTTATGAGCCACCAAATTTTCAAGTGTGCCCTTTACTAATCTGTCCTTAACCTTAATTTTTCTACTTTTCCTCTAGGACTGAGGTTGCACAGATTTACCACCAGGTTTCTGATAATTTTTGTTAATTCTTATAACTGAGCCTTGGAGATGTCTGGCAAGATGAAAAGATACTGTTCTACTTTCTTTAAGGCTACCACATGGCTGAAGGGGAATAGTAGTCATTACACCCTATATGTGATAGGAAAGGTTCAAGAAACTCTATGGGCTTAGGATGTAAAACACCATAGGATTTAGACTGAAGTGAAAAAGCTACGGTCCGGGAACATTGTCAAAACCTAAAAACTGAATTCTGGCCCTTTGAATTTGTACAGCATATACTACCCTTTTTGTGTCTGAAATCTGCAATTTAATTTCGTGATGAGGTATGCTTAATTAATCCTATGGGAAAAGCAGTACTCTTCATGCATTTTCACTGATCGTATGTGAAGCTTATTGTATGTTATTATAGGAGTTGGAAAACTCACAGAATGAAACTATGCAGTAATGAATTCACAATAGAGACAAAGCAACTTAAGCTCAGCTCCTAACAATTTCTGTGCAGTGGTACCATTGTATTAACATTCAAATATTCATATATGGGTAACATTATTACTTTTAAACCAGAACTCTAATCTGTGTTTTGTAGAACTATTAAACTTTTTGTTATTTATGAAAGCAAAACCCAATTCCAGTACATTTTCTCTACATGCCCCTTTCATGGGTTACCTTTGGCTTAACCAGATGCTACTAGAAATTCCTTGTTTGAATACGTCAGTCACAAATTTGTATTTTTTTTTTTTTTTTCCGCCTTTTTTAGGTTGGGTGTTAAAAACAAAAACTTACTTCAGTAGAAACTCTCCAGTCTTTCTGCTGGGAAAATGTTACCACTTCAAAACTGATGGTATGTACATAGCACTTAACTCATTCCAGTCTTACTTGGCAGGAGCTGTGTGGATATATTTTTAACCTTCTGGAAAGACCCTCATTAACAATTACAGAATTCAAAATGTAAATATGAAAAGCTTAGAAAGTACTCATTTAAATGTCCAACACCACCACTAATGCAACCCATCCTAACCTACTTTATTCAGATTTTACACTGAAGTCTTGTTCTTGCTGTAAATATTAGTGCTGTAATTTGCACTTTGCTTCATTTACCTATCAATTTGAGATTTTCTTTCTAAAAACTCCTGAATGAAATAGTGACAATACAAAGACTCACTACACCACCACCTTTGTTATCATTTTCCAGTATGCAGTTTTCTAAGAATCTCTCTCTATTTGACCATTTACATTTGGGTGAATTAAGCAGTTGCTTACTGCAAGTCAACAGTTCCATTGGCACAGTAATGTTGGCTGCACTGCCCCCCCCCAGCTGGCACATTTCTGTTATGTTGCCTTCCAATTTTCCTTTCTTGTATTTGAAGCAATTGTTACTTTTTGCAAGTTTGCCCTGTCTTTTTACTAGAATAGTTGTTATCTTTTTACTTTCCTTCTAAGAACAGAAGTGCCATGCCAAGTTATAACTTAAATTTGTGCTTTGCCTTACAGAATCTGGTGAACTCTCTACAGATGGGTCCAATTTTGATAAAATCAACACAGAGATTTCAGGAAATGTTGAGGAGTTTCGTAAAGATTTTATTTCTAGAATATGGCTGACTTACAGAGAGGAGTTTCCTCAGATAAAGGGGTCTGCATTAACAACAGACTGTGGTTGGGGTTGTACACTGAGAACTGGTCAAATGCTGCTGGCTCAAGGTCTTGTGCTTCATTTTCTCGGTAGAGGTAAGTTACAAGAGAAGATCTCTATATTTGGTGTGATAAGCATGGGTGTTCTGTAGGGAGTGTGATGATCTTTATGTAGACAGAATTGAAAGTGCGTGCTGGTTTTGGTTCTGGACTTCCTCTCATTCATGTTGGAATTGTTACATGGCATCAGAGTAGTGATCTAGCTGACCTACTTTCTATTCCTGAAAAAGGGAATGCCAGGGTGCGCCAAAGGAAGATACTGGAAACTCCACAGAAGCTAACTGTGAAGTAAAATACCACAAAAATGTGTGATCCTATACCTGGGTATGGTTATTATCCATGTGAGTGTCTGTCCTGGTTTCAGCTAAACCATGACAGTGTCCAATTCTCTTCAATCTTGCTCATTTCTTGAACTCAAGGTGTGGAACTGAGTTCCACAGCCCACAGCTGTGGGCTATGGCAAAAGTGATGTTCTTTCACCAGTTTTAAAGTTGTACATTATTCAATTCTTCTAGTATTAATATATTGAGTTAATTGAAGTTAGATTAGAATCCTTCTATATATCATTCTTTGTGTTGAAATTTGCACTATTTCATTTCCTCCCTTCCCCCCCATGTACTTACAGAGGGATTTCCTTTTTTTTCTATATCATTGTCTGTTTCAAAATACTCCCTCAGTCACAGCTGTTTGAAAGAAGTCGCTTTAGGACACTCGGAACACTTTCCGCTTTCAAAGGCTAAGTATTTTTAGTTCTCATCATTAACCACCTTTCCTTTTCATCCTCTTCTCAATCCCTTTCACAGTCTACCACATTGCCCCTTCAAACAATTGGTCATTTCTTCTGTCACCATTGCTTGTTGTCAGAATGATCCAAGACATGGCCCTGAAGCCACCCAGGCATGTTAGTTAGGGAGAATAGAATACAGTGTATTGTTTACTCAGCCATTTGTTGGATCCCAGGAATACTTCAGTAGAAGATGGTTCTGAAAGCTTGTTTTGATAATGCTTTGTACTTTCTGTTCAAATACAATGTAAGCTGTGAGCATAGTCCCAAACAAGCTGCATCACAAAGTCGTCTTTCTTGGCAGTGTTATGGCTGAACTGGTAGATTGGCTTACTGAATGTTCCTTTTGCTGTAGATATTTTAGGTCATAAAACATTCATATCCCTTTCAACTGACTGCAAATATCAAAATGTATGAAAATACTTTTGCCGAGAACACAAATCCCTTAAATATAACTTTTGTTATACATACATTTGAAGAAATAAAAAAACAATCTGATCAGAAGACTACTTGTGAGTAGGAATGTGTAATGGCTCATTCTGAAGTAACCAAAAACAAAAAAGCCCCAGGTTTATATCTTTAAAATCCATGGTTACAAAGAATTCTTTGCACCGTCCCCCATGCATCCTAATTTGGAAAGTGATTTGGTGATTCCAGAGTACTAGTGTTTCTGCAGCAATCCAAATGCATAGAAAAATGGAGTATGTATGGTCTTTCTGGACTACTTTTCTCATCACCTAGTCTTTTGACAGCTGGTGAATTATCTTTTGAAAAGCTTTTTATGAGGCCTGGTAGCTTTTGAAACATATTTAAGTGTTTACTTGAAGTTTTTCATCGCTGTTTACTCTTTTCCCAGAGACGTTTTCATTATAGTTTAATGGTATTGTTTCTGTTACAAAGCAAAACTTGGCTGCAGTTACTAGCTGGAATACTTACACTTCTACTGCTATGTGGAATGTTCCAGATATCGCTGAATGATGTTGTAAATTAGTTTTTATTTTAAGTATGAAGGTACTGGTAAGTTTTACTTTGAAATACTTCTGCTTAAGCAAGTGACTTAAATTTGAAGGTGACAGTACAGGAATAGCAAGGCCTGCGATGTTGTTACATTGAGCTTGTGCATGCATCTGCCTGGGTCCACAGTGAAAAATTAACACGAGGTTTCACAGAGGGGTGCCACTTGTGGTAAGAGGTGTTGACACAGGATGGTTGTCACACTGTAGTAAGAGTGGGTGACATGGATTATGGCCATTACCAGCAATACTTGTGACATTACTGGAGCCCTAATTAAGATTTTAGAATTAAAATATAGTTGCCTCTGTACTTCCTCTTTGTTTCTCAAAGACTTTTACATGGATACTTCAGTAAGAATGACAAGGAGGGCTGCAGTTCTTGCTCTCTGTCAGTATTAGTTTGAAAAGGTTCCTTTTGCTGCTGCAATGGCAGCTTTCTGAACCTTCAGGAGCTTACCCAAATCTGGCTTATGGAGCAAAAGCACCCCATCTGTAGGGTTTGTAGGGTGTGTTGCTTACTTGCATGTGGCAGCCTTCCCTCTTGCCTTCTGGGATGTTCACTGTAGACCTTCAGGGTATCTTCTGATCTAACAGTATGTTCTCTGTGTTTCGGAGGTTTCCTCACATGCTCTGTGTTGCAAGTAGTTTGAACTTGCGGGAGAGACTTTCAGTCATCTGACAAGGGAAGCATTACTGTTCTCCAGATATGCTGAACCACCATTATGCTATAAGAGGAACACTCTGTAGGCTGCATTGTTAAAAGAGACCTTTGGCTAGAAATGCAGACTCTAGATACTGTGCTGAATAATATTTAAACAAGTTTGTCTTGTAATCTAGGTAAAGCATTCACAAATTTAGTGAATAAAGAAATATTGTCTAATTTTCTGCTGACCTTTGAGAGTTTGCCAGGAAGAAGTGTTTGTTTTTACATGAGTAATTCCTCAGGTTGGCCTATTTTTTTTAATAACTGACAAACCAGAAGAATTAAAAACAGCTTTTGAAAATTCTTGTTTGATATGGATAAAACTTTTACATGGTACTGAATAGCTAACTTTTATATTTTTAATGTGTAAGATAGTTCTAACCTGTGCCTTGTAATCAGGTATATCTTGTGTATCTTAACTGACTGGGATCATGGAGTCTGACCTACTATCTCAGATAGCATAAATTGCCAACAAATGTACAGTAGTATTTCGTTTCGCCTGTCATTCAGCAGAAAATAAAAGCCAATCATATTCCACTTTAATTCTTTGTTTACATTTTAAGACTGACATTTGCATCTCAGTATGTGAAGTACATATTGGTGGTCTGAGGAACATGGGGAAGAAAGGGATGTGCTTTGCTAGTTATACCAACAAGTTAATATTAAGCCTAATATGCATCTTAAAATTTCTTGCTTCAGCCTGGGTCTGGCCAGATGCGTTGGACATTGACAATTTGGATTCTGAATCCTGGACAGCCCATACAGTGAAAAAGCTGACAGCATCGTTCGAAGCATCCCTTACAGCAGAAAGAGAACCCAAGATCCTGTCAAATCATCATCAGGGAACATTAAAGAGAAACTGTGATGACAGTGAAATGAGAAATGAAGTTTATCATAGAAAAATCATTTCTTGGTTTGGTGACTCTCCTCTGGCAGCTTTTGGCTTACATCAACTAATAGAATATGGAAAGAAGTCTGGAAAAATTGCTGGAGATTGGTATGGGCCCGCAGTCGTTGCACATATTTTAAGGTAAAAATACCTTTATTCTTGTTTACCGTTGTAAAACGTTACCATGCCTTACAAATTACAGGAGAAGCATTTCAAAGTGTCATGAGATTACTTCAGCTTAATTGAGCATCTAACTGTTCATTATTGGCTTTGTAAAATGTCCATATTAGTAGCGATTCTAGAGATTTTTCAGAGGCAGGAAGGGAAATAGCAGTAGGTGCAGGAACTGAACTCTGAGCCTTTGTTCAATCTTATTTCAGGGAAAAAAACATCATTCCTGTTTTCCTGTACTTTGGGCAGTAGAAGTCCCAAGTATCTCTCCCAAACCTGCGCTTTTAAGTAGAGTTGCATTTAATGAAATGTTCTAAAAACTAACCACTCTTTCAACCTTGGAACATGCATAACATTATAGATTTTTTTTTTAATACTGTAACCTGGGGGCTGTAATGTACTGATAGTGTAATGAAATGTCAGAGCTAAAATTGATGTTTTCAGCATTTCTTTGCACACATCAAATTCTTGTGAAACTGTAAATGTATGGGACTATTAATATTATAATTATATCACAGTAAAAGTAAAGGGTCTGTGACATTCAGTGTGGTTAAAAAAAAAAGTCGAAAGTCAAATTTCTCCATACTATGTGCCTTTATATGCCATTTCTTTTGAATATTACTGATTTTGTTTTTTTTTTTTTTAATAGCCTTATATGCTTATGTTCTTAGTAGATTCCAGTTTACCTATAAACTGAATCACTAATAAGTAATTTAAGCAGCAGAAGCCAAAGTTCATAAGTTTATCTATAAATATATGAAAAATTTGATATTTAGTATAAAAGTATATTAATCTTAAATGAACCTGTACTGAAATAATCAGGTGTATGTATGTGCATATGTGCAAATGCATACAGTGATGTAAGAGATTAGTATTATTTATGTGTTTTCTTCTATTTTTTTCTGATGATGGAAACTTGGCAGAATTCTTTTTGCTTGCTTTAAATTGCAGCAGCCTGTTTACCTAATGGGAGTGGGGGTGGGGGGTGGGGATTTGGTCCAGAATTACATTCAACACAAACCCACCAGTGATTTCCAACACTGCAAAGGTTTCCTTTCCTAGATCTCCTTTCTCCCTTACAACAGTACTAAGAATGTATAGCTCTCTCATAACTTGAGAACAGCTGGATTAAACGATTCCTCAAAATATATTGTGAAATAAAGGGATAGTGATCATTTAATGCAAGTGTGTATTGAAGTCAAAGGCTAATCTTCTATTTTGAACAGTTTAATTTCTTTACAAATGTTGTCCTTGATTGATGATCATGCTTCAGACTATCGACATTTATTTTCTTTTTAGTTTTTAGGTCCATTACTCTTACTCTTTTGAGGATAGCCTAATATTGCAATTATATTTTTTGAAGTTTTAGTGAAACCTTACAGCTTTTTATGTGCTAGCCTTTATTTCCATAGACATGAGGTGCTAATCTGTGCCTAGTTATATGAACTGAGGTCAACTAAAGACATCTATCAGGTTGAAAATAATATTTTTGTCAGCAAATTTAGCATTCATTATCCCAATACATGCGACAGAAAATTGTTAGAAAGAAATTAGGTAGTGAATATGAAGTTCATTGTAAGTTAATGTGTTTCTTTGGCCTTTTTTTTTCCTGTGGTTTTCATTGTTTCTTTTAAATAGCCAGACATTGTCATCTTTGCTTGGGAAAAACGTGTTGCCATTTACACTGGATCTTGGTATCCAGTGGTTAAAACAAACAAACTAACCCCACCCCCCCACCCCCCATCTGTATTTATCAGAAATGGAAGGTGTCTCAAATTAAAAACAAACAAAAAAAACCCCAAAACAATTAAAAAAACCAAAACCCAAACCCAAACCAACAACAAACAATTAAAACCAACAACAATTAAAACCAACCTGTTTCTAAAAATCAAATAATTTGTGTTTATTTACTGTTCATTTCTTTAAAATCAGAGATGAGTTAAATAGTTTTGTGTTTGTACTTAGAAAAGCTGTTGAAGAAGCAAGAGACCCTGAGCTACAAGGAGTAACAGTCTATGTTGCTCAGGATTGTACAGGTAAATGTTGTGATTATGTAGATTTTTGCAAACATTTTAGATGCTTTTTATGCCTTTCAGTAAGCACTTAACAATAGAGCTCTAAAAGAAAAAAATAAACTCCTGAAATGGATCCACAAATTAAGACTATGTAGATGAAGGTGTTCTTGGTATATGCAGATGTTTGTTCTCTTTGAGAATCAGACATCACAACTTGAAAGCTTCGTACGTTGCTTGTTTGGTATCTCATAGTGGAAGATAGTGGGATTCCAAATCCAGCAAGATAACTTTTCCTTACTGTCTGCCTGTTGTAACTTTTTATTTTGGTTTTAAATCAGTTAATTATCTGTTTTATACTTGCTTCAATGTTGTTTTAGCAATAAGCTAGAAAGAACTTCCATATCTTACTAAAAATAACTCCAAAAAACCAAACAACTGAAAAATACTTCAGTTAGATTTGTTAGTTCCATTTTATTTGTCTTTTGCATCACAGGATTCTCTTCTACCCATTTTTCTAGTGGAAGAAAGAGACTGCACCAGTCTCTTAGAATAGTAAGAAGTCATTTCTGCTTGGAGTTCAAAGATGCGAGCAGCATAGTGAACCCGAGTCACTGGTAACCTTGCTTCTGCTCCAATGTGGCTTTTTAAATAATCAATAACAGGCAGAGGAGCTCAGAGCTCTGGATGTTCTCGAGCAGAAAATGATGACAAGATAAACTGAATGTGCGGTGAAACTTTACACTAATGACTATAGTCTTTCAAATCTGAGAACAATGCGTTACTTCAGTAGCCATGTTTAGCTGCCAGAAATCTTAGTTATGTCATAACCGATACTGGGATAGGACAGATGAGACTGACATCCCTGGGTAATCAATCAGACTGGTTTCAAAGGGATACTATTTAATTATATTCTACAAACCAATTTCACCTGACTTAAAATGACAGTGGACACTTTTAAAATTCTATTAATTTTTTGCTTCTTTGTTCTGGTGATGATTTTTTGCATCTCTCAGTTTGGAGGGAATAAGCAAAAATACTACATTAAGTTTTTTCACTCATTTTCAGTGACTGTGTTGTGTTAAATTTAGACAGCGAACTTGAGTATTTATTAAAATCAATTACTGTCTTTTTTTCCTTTAAAATGTAGATGTTTCTGTTAGTTGTACACTTTCAAGTTTTAAATTACTCCTTTTAGAATAAGGTTATATCAAGTGAACAAATACTTACCGGTTTTCTCCTAACCTACCCCTTCTGCATTTTCCTGACAATGTGTCTTACCTCAGCAGCAGCACATTACCACTCTGTAAAATACTGCTGAAAATAAGGAGGCATAACACTGTTTTTCATCAGTCACTCAAGGGTTATATTTCAGGAGGACAGCAGTATTTTGAAGGACTGTCGTTCTAGTTTGACAAACTAAGTGATGACATGTTGTAGGTGTGTCTTTGTAAAAGCTAGCGGTTATATTTTAAATATGAATATTTCCGTGTGTCTCCTTTCAGTCTACAGTTCTGATGTTATTGACAGACAGTGTTCTTTTATGGATTCTGGAAAAGCAGACACAAAAGCTGTAATTATATTAGTCCCTGTGAGACTCGGTGGAGAGAGAACAAACATGGACTACTTAGAGTTTGTAAAGGTATGAAATGAGAGTTCAATCATTTTTCAAATAGTAGCACTAGGTGATATGAAAAGCGACTTCATGATGGTAATCTTCTACCTATTAAATGTGTGGTGGTGATTTTACAGTTGAAAAGGTTGTAAAGTTTGACTTTACAGATTTTAAATTTCCCTATTACAAGATCAGACATAATTGCAGAGCACATGATGTCCCTTGGTAAAGCAGTGATAACTGTCCTACTCCTAAAGTAGCTACCTGAAAAGACATTGATGCAGTAGCTCAAATTACAAATGGTAATTTAGTTACATATGCTATTAGTTGTGCTATATTAAGTATCAGTCAGCATTTAAAAATGTAAATATACCAGATTCCTTATTCTGTTTATTTTCTTAAATGTCAAATGGTTTAAGGTTGTTGCTTGTCTGTTCTTCCCATTTTCTTTTGTCTTTTTCTTCCCCTTGAGAGAGGGGTTAGAATTTTTTGATCTCTTCAGTCACTACTTCAAGTGTTTTTTCACTATCTGGACATTAGGATGAATGTTTCTAAGGACAGTGATGCATGAGTAGGAAGCAGTTACTACAAATAAAAACAAACTGGAAAAAAGTAAAAACTCGAGAAAGCAGAGGGGAGGAAAATCTGTGCTGTCCTCTTTCTTTCAGCAGAGGTTCTGCTTATGGTGCTAACACCTGAAGATGTAATCCTACCTCTTGAGCACAAGAATACTTCTCTTAGAGAAGAGATTGTTCTCTAGCCCTGCTGCTTTATTGTTTTCCATGCTGCTGTTTATCTGTCTTCTTGTTTTAATTTTTAAAATATTGCAATTTAGTAGCATGTGTGAAATCTGAGTCTGTTGCATCTTTTTTTTTTTTTTTGTGACTGCGTCGTCTTTAAAATTTTAGGAAACATGTTTGGTTTTTAATGGCATGGGGAGACAAGAGTGTTGAAGCCTTTTATTTGAGTGATGAACTAAAAATTTGTTTTTCTTTACTGATTGTTTTCCTTGTATTTTCAGACAGTTGGTTTTGGAAAGTTTTAGTTCTTTTCTGATTAATTCTGACACAGCTAAGATAAGCCTGTGGTCACAGACATGATCTACAGGAACCTTACTTTACTTTCAATGTTAACTGCAAAGCCTTTGAATCAGTCATGTCCAGCAAAACACACAGTGCCTTCATTTTTAAGCTAACAACAGTTGCTTCTGCAACTTTCATAAGGCTTTCCCAGTGAAGGAAAAGTGACTCCTGTTCTTTAATACTGGCTTTTATTATTGACGGGTATCTATGGCTAGTTTTACCCTGCAGAGGCTTTCTCAGTTTGGCTCTCAAAACCACTCTTTTGCCAGAGTAAAATATGTTTGCCTGGCACTGGGTTTCATAGCACAGTCACGTTATCTAAGCTTGCCTTGTACTGGAGTGGCTTTACTGGGGTGATTTCTGCTGCTCATTTACCAAGCCTCATACTGCCTTTTGCAGCCTGTTATAACGGAGACTGTGATAAGAGGGCTTTCAATTGCATATATTAGTCACTCCAATCTCTATCTTGACTGTTCACAAGAAGCAACTAAATTTCTTGGGGTCTGGATTTAAGTTAAAAATGCAGATTTTAGAATGTAGTACAAGAGGTAATTTTTACAAAGGATTTTATATTTATGGATGAAAATTGATAAATTTTTTATAATTCACTTTTACAAGAAAATTCCCATAGATTAAACAGTTATTCATTACTCTAAGTAGCTTTGCTCCCTTTCTGTTTCACTGGCAGAGGATGTGTCATCCTTAGCTGTTTCAGCCTTTGCCTCCCATCTGCCTAAATGTTCTGTAATGCTCAGCCATCCAGGAGCATTTTCTAAAAAAGCCTTCTCATTCATATATTAAATAAGCAGCACTTTCTCTTAGCCTGTATAAACCATGCTGAAGTTGACTTGGTTAGCATCTCCGGTGAGAAGTACAACAGTTTTTTGTTATGTTACATTACTTTATCATTGTCTAAGGAGAGAAAAATTTATCTCGAGAAGGTTTGGTCTTATTAGTACATGAAATATTAATCATTTTGTTGAGAGAAATTTTCCCTACTTGCACAATGATAATGTAATGGTTATACTTTTACTGGTTGATCTCTTAGAGGAGAAGATATAGATATGACTGCCAGTTAATGGAGATTTCACTTCAGCTCAACCGATAGTCTTATGGATTGCTGTCCCAGTTTGGGCCAGCATCCAAGTTTTTGGACCCAACAGTTGTCTAGTGTCACAAGAAAATGACTGTGATTTATGGACATTTAAAGGCTGTTCAGGTTTCAGAGTATTTAATGGTCTTGGGCTTCAGCTGCATTAGAGCAGTTGGGCTCAGCTTTCCAAAGTGCTCAGTGTTGGCAAAATTCAGCTCCCACTGGAGTTGGTGGGATAACTAATGGAGAACTGTGTTAAGCCAGGACTGAATATTCACAAAAATCCTAATGAGCTCCGGTAAGACACAGAATCTCATGAAAGTGAGAAGAGTAGGAATATGTTGAAGGAAGAGGGAGGAAAGTCCTCCATGCCTTCTTTCGTTCCTTTGCTAGGCACTTCTTTTAATTGAGAGATGATCAAGGGTGATTTCTTTGGTGTCCATTGTCTGTCACTGCATCCAGAGCTTGTGGGTGATAGAGGAATTTCAGTCAATTACACTACTGACATGTTCTTACCTTGACCAAATTGCATGTATACAGGTAAATCCTTCTCCCCAGCACTAGAAGGTATATCCATAAAATCAACACTTTATTATGTAATGATGAGCCTGCTAGGTTTGTGTGTGAGCACAGACACATGGATTACAGAACCCAACTCTTTTCAACCTGAATGAACAGAAATATGCTGGCAGCGCTGGTGTTGACTGTAGTCCACAAGCTGATATCCCAACTCTTTCTGTCCTTGGTGGCTCCTAACTTGCCATGGGTGGACGAGTATCTTTCTTTCTTTCCACCTCCAGACTGAAATGATTCATGTATTTCACCCCATGTCCCTCTTTAAATCCCATTAGGTGTATTTGTAATGTCTCTTTCTCAAAGTTGCTATCTGCTGATGGTTCTGGTTCCTCTACCCCCCCAGTCAACATCCAGTAGGATTTATGGGGCTTGTCTGTTGTGTGTCTGTCTCTCCTCCCATATTTTGGGCTGCTGATTTTAGAGCTGTCTCTTGTAATTACTCTTGTTTCAACTGGCATTTCTCCCTATGATGTAGAAGTTCATAATTTAGACAGACTTCTGCATTTGAATGCAAAGAGAAGAGAGCCCCCAGGGCCACAGAATGTAAATGTATATGAACTCTGTAAATCTGAATACTTCGATACCTTTTGATGAAGCAACCTGTGCTCAACTTGTATGACATTAGGTTTTGTCTCCTCCCCAAAATTGATACTGGCAGTTCTCTCAGTGTATCGGCATCTCATGAAAAGGGAGGACTTTCTCTGGAATATCTGGTGGTATGTTTTCACTTTGGTCAGTTGTAAGCTTCTAAAAATTGAGTCAAGCCCCAGAAAATCATCAAGTCAGTCTTTAAAAAAAAAAAGGAAAAAAGTTATTTGCCTAAAATCAATAAAGAAAGAGCAAAGATTTTAATTCAGTTTAATGCTTACTCTGTTTAACACTGTCCTAATTATTTAATGTTCTGCTTCCAGGGAATTTTAAGCCTTGAGTATTGTGTTGGTATTATTGGTGGCAAACCCAAGCAGTCATATTACTTTGCTGGATTTCAAGGTTAGTGTTTTAATATGTTATGTCTCTTCAATATTTTTCTTTAAGAGTTAGGAAGTTAATACCGAACCAGTGGGAAATAGCATGATTAAAACAGCAAAATGAGTACCTTATTAATTCATCATATCTACCCAAGTCCAGTCATTTGTCATTTACCCCATATAGTAATTGGATTCTGTAAAATGTACGTTTAATTTCCATTGTTGCATAAACAAGGCATAATTTATCTGTTTCACCAAACTTCATGAGCGTTTGCTGTTACTATCTGGCAGTTCTTATTTACATATTTACGTTGTACTAGTTTAAGTGGTGTTAGTTGATGCTTAAATGACAAGCAATATATTCTTCCTGTCAGGATGAAGTAGCACAATACATTTTTCATATGCAAACTCCAGAATATAATTGTGTGTTTGTAAAAGTAATTTTATCACCAAAAATTAAATGACAGTCTCATCACTTTATAAAAATTCTGCTTATACAAGCATATTTGATTATGCAAAAGTTAATCTGTCCTGCAAAAACCTATGCTTCAGTCAATGAATATCAGCCTGGCAAGCAGTTACTTGCTGGCTTTTTTTTCAGCTGTTCTGCATAGAAATTGGATTGTAAGCAGTGTAATAATAAGGTGTTTTTTGAATTACTTGTCTTCTGTTTTGTCCTTGTAGATGACAGTTTGATTTACATGGATCCTCATTACTGCCAATCTTTTGTAGATGTCAGCATAAAGGATTTCCCTCTTGAGGTAGTGTGGATATAGACCTGGCACTGTTTTCTTCCCATATGAATCAAACACTAATTATGTAGAGATGTTCTAGCTAGCTGCATCTTTATGGGTTTACAGTTACATGTTATTTATCAAAGTTCTGCCCTTCTTTATAGGCCTATAATCAACAAAAATGACCAGAGGTTAAAAACTCAATATGGGGTTTTAATTTTTACTTCATTAATCTTCATCTGTTTCTTTTAATGATCAGAAAACCTCAAAAATAGATGATCACTTCATTCAAGTAATTTTCCATCAAAGAAAATAGACAATATTTGGAGTACTTAAACCTGAATTATTTGGATTTGGTTTTGTTAGTTTGTCTTTTTGGTCAATTTTATTTTATATTACTTTGAATTCAAGTTGCAGTCAACATCATGGAGAGAATTACTGTAGTATTCAGTAGTAGGAGCCTGTTGTCAGATTGGAACCAGAGTTCCTATAGGTTTACCTCCTGCTGCTTTATCCAGCAATTCGTAGTGTTTCTATACTGGAATAGGTGGTTATCATTTTAAATGTAACTTTTGCTCCTAACAGCTTTGCAGGTGACTTTTTTTTTAGCTTCATACAAGGTGGAAATTTTTGAGGCTTATCAGTGAGGTTTGTGGCTGACTAGATGAATTTTACTTCAGTCTTCCAAACTGTTTCTTTTAACAAATTTCATTATTATTTTTAATCAAGCTATTTTTATGGAATAGTAGTTTCCAAGAAACTGACAGGTCTGAAAGTGTAGGTGCTGCGTTTGTTCTTTCTTTTCCCCTAACCCCCTTCTAGGCCATGACTTTCTGGGTGCATCTAGATGTAGTGAATGCATCCTTTCATGCTATGCCTGGGTCTTAAAAATCATGCTTGTTTTTGTTTTTTTTTTTTACAATAGTGTTTTCCCTTTTCTTTAACCTCTTGCCAAATAACTTGCATTGAAAATAGAGCTAAAGGAGGTTATTAAAGAACTCAATTTACAAGTACCATGGGAAAACATTATCAGTTGCAGAAGTAAGCATTCAATAGCCACAGTACTCACAGTAGCAGTACTAGGTGCCATCCATACAAACTCTCCTTCTTGATCTTGTGTCCAACTTCCACATGAACTTCCAGCCTCCTCGGAGCAACTGTTCATTCAGTGTAGAAACACTCTCAGGGTGCATCTACTGCTTGGGACAGCATCAGCTGCTCTAGAACAGAGTTGGTTATTAGTAGTGGTTCCTCATGCCACTGTGTTCTGTGAAGTTAAGTACTCCTAAATGTGTAAACACAGCTTCAGAAACAACATATTGCATTTAAGTAAGGAAGAGGAATGTGTATTTATCTCCACCACCTCTAAAATACTAGCAACTTAATGTAGAATTCTTAAAGGTTTGCAGTGAAGTCCTGTAAACAATGGAAGTGAGTCATATGTGACTCTTAAACTCACACCTGAGGAATTGAGTAGGTGATCTTAAATTGACTGTTTACACTTAGAATGTAAGTCAGATGGTGTGTAATGAAGTTGTATCTTCATGGCTTATGGTTTGTATAGCAGCTAGGAGTTAACTTAAACTGAGAATGGTGGAATGAACTGCAATGGTCCTGTCTATTTTTAGCATGAAAAGGAAGATCTGTTAACATATGTTGAAGTTGATCACAATACCTTAATCGGAATACCATCAAATAGTATGTAGGAAAAGTACTTATATATATCTCAAAGGACTTACACAGGGCTAATGTCAAAGCCTAGGGCTGACTTAAAGCAAACACTCCATATTTTTCAGTATTTATGCTTAACAAGATGCTTTAATTAGCATGACATATAATATAGAAGTACAAGATCCTCTAGAAAAGGAGAAGGTTCTGAATTTAAAAAACGAACATAGCAGCAAAATGTATCAGAACATATCCTAGACACAAACTTTCATTATTTTTAGAGATGCCTTTAGATTTACCCCATCGAGACATTCAGAAGAAGAGTTGGTGAGTCACAGCGCTACCTATTTGTATTGTGGCAGCACCCAGAGATTTTAACCAAGATCCTTGCCCCTATATGCTAATAAGTGTAGCAAAATACAGTGCCTTCTCTGAAGATTTTACAGTTTAATTGGGTAAGCCAGACAAAAGATGGGAAGAGCACAAAGAAGCAGAGCTGAAGTGACTTCCTTAAGGTCACACTGTAGCTCAGTGGCCAAGGTACAAAAAATACGCATCTTTTTGGTTTCTGTTTCTATGATTAATCCTCCAGATTGCACTGCAGACTGGCATTAATACGAATTTCCAAATAATAATAAGGTTTTAAAATGTATTTTGAAGGTATGCGAGCTGCCAGCTTGGCTTGATCGCATCCTAATGCTTTTCTGCAGACGGAAAACATACTGCAATTTAATGCTTAGTGCATTTAATAGTATTATATCTTTGTCCAGAAATGTCAAAAGTAAACAGAAATTGCTTTCTTAGTGTGGATAGTTGCTTGTTAGATTTATCTGTAGGGAGTATTTTCAAAATTGACAAATTGTCCAGAATAAGTTGGAAATCAATCCACTCTGTATTGGCTTCCAGAATCCATTTGTTTGGAGGAGGGGGGGAGAGGAGGGAAGCCTATCCACTTCTTTTTGTTGTACAGTGATTTGTGTAGCATTAAGACTACTGCCTTGAAGAGTACAGCACAACTGTAGTTACAATGTTGTTGCTGAAATGTGATATGTAAGGCAGGGTTTGATTTATGTATTTGATGACTCAAATTAATATTCAAAATACAATTTCTGCATATAAAATTTGAACAGAATTAGAAAAAACAGTGACTAAAATCAATCTTGTAGAAATCATACTGCTCATCTTTGCTTATATTTTTTAGCAGAGGTTTAATAGGAATACCTCTCTTAGGTTTGTAATCACAAGTAAAGAACAGTACACTTCAATACGAAAACTATTACACTGACAGATACACTCAGATTAGGTAACTAGTGCTGTCATCTTCTGTAGATTGACTTTTCTGAGTGGCAAAAAAAAAAGATTAAAAAAAAGATAAAATGGGTTTCTAGTACACAGACTGCTTGATTTTAGCTGTCAGGGGTTGCTGTTGCTATAGTCAAATTAGATTGTAACAGTTGTTAGTTATGCTTTACAGAGGAAACACAGCGGTGTTAGTAAGAAATCTCCTGCATTGCTCTGTCCTGGTGTTCCTGTTGCATTAGTAAGCTGTCCTGGTCCTGTGCTGAACCAGCGCTGGTGCCAGAAGAGCTGCGAGCTGTGCACAGCTTACATGTAAATGTGAAAGGAAACGGCACAGACTGTTCACTGGAGAATATCGGATCACTGGGGGAAGTTCATGAAAAACAAAATCTGCATTTTAGTACAGTGGTATCTCTGTTGCAGTGTGGTGCAGACATGGTGTGTTAGTATTTGTTACTGAGCAGCTGTAGCAGGATTGCTAGTGATTTAATAGAGGTAGGATGATGTGGTAGTCCTGCATGTTAGAAGCAGAATAAAGATGCCTTTGAGTCACTGGTGACCAAATAATTTCAGTTATTAGGCAATGAGCTTCATCAAAACTACAGTTCTGGTAACACACACACACACATAATCAGGGTAGATAGCATATGCTTATCTTTTCTCTCATAAACTTGTGAATGAGGAGTGTGGGGAAGGGTTTGGTGTATTTGTTTGTCTTTTCTTACAGCATGGCTGCTGATAGTATCAGTTCACAGCACTGTCAGAGCATCATCTGTCATGAAAAGAGATTTCACATTAGGAAAAAAAACCACTTATAAAGCAGGGCATGTTGTTTGGGTTTTTCCGACTTGCGGATTATTGTAATATGGTTTTGCTTTTGTGGTTTTTGTGGTTTTTTTAACCAATTTCATTTACTAAAGGAGAATGCATGAGGTTGGTTTATTCCATTATGTCTCTTTTATAGAGGTTGGAGGAGGGAAAGGGGCAATGGGTGGTGGTAGTAAAGCAGTAATTGTAAGATAGTGCAAAAGCTGTTACAAATTCAATTTGCTAAAGAGCATTCACCTCCTCTGCCTTGGGAATATTCATAAAGTACTGCTCGGAGTGGCAGACCTCTGACGGATTTCAAACTAACACGGTGGTACCTGCAAGTTTGGTGAATAGTGTGAACAGCAGGAGGTTTTATACGCGTGGAGGAGAGCGGAATTACTCGAATGTTTGGCGGGGGGGGTTGGAAGAAATTCCTTAAAAAGTGTGTGCTGGCTTCTAATTCAAGTGATACAGGGGATTGTATGTTAAAGCTCTCGGTGAAAAAAGTAAATGCATTTGTCTGTGCCATTCTCAACCTCAACTGTGCATTTCATGGTTTTTCATCTTGAAACTTGCAGTCATTCCACTGTCCTTCTCCCAAAAAGATGTCATTCAAAAAAATGGATCCGAGCTGCACAATAGGATTTTACTGTAGAAGTGTGCAGGACTTTGAGAAGGCTTCTGAAGAAATCACGAAGGTAGGTGTCCAAGTTACCGAACCCCTTCCTCAGCCAGAGCGGTGCGTGCGTGCTGCCTGGGGGCAAGGGGACAGAACCAGCTTCGCGCCTCTGAAGAGCCGTCGGTCTTTCCTTGATGTTTATTGCTGCTTTTCTAATCACCAGAAGCCGAGGTGGCTTTTCATTCCATCCGAGGGGGCCGG